AAGTCGTACGGGTCTCAGGTGGGAGGGACGTGGACGTGTGGCGCGGCACGGGACAGACACTGGGGCGTGAGGGTCGCCGCAAGTCGTACGGGCCTTAGATAGAGATGGACGTGGACGTGTCGCGCGGCACGAGGCAGACGCTGGGGCGTGAGGGTCGCCGCAAGTCGTACGGGTCTCAGATGGGGAGGGATGCGGACGTGTCGCGCGGCACGAGACAGACGCGCATCCCTCCAACTGCACAAACTCGCACGGAGCTCTGCACGCCAACCGGGCCAATGCGAGCGTTGACCCTTCGAAACTCTGGGAGGCGCCAAGCCGCTTGGCGTGGTGCCCAGAATTACTCTGTCTCCCATACATTGCGTGAGCGCCTCCGCTTCACCGGAGGCTTAACGCCACTGAGGGCATCGCTGCTCAGGCGGCGCAGCAGGGGGACGAGGGCAGCAGGACTAGCGCCAGGTCGTCCAAGGACGCCGCGCTGTGGGCTGGGCTGCGCGCGCGGGCGCAGCAAACCATCACCTCCGCAGCGACCGTGTCAGGCGGCGACCGCACCACCGGTGTTTTGTTCGGGTAGTGAGTCAGAACCGCCCGGGTTAAATGCTTCGTTACGCGCCGGATCTACGTCGCGTGGCGCACTTTCCCCGTCACCGTGCCGCGTCTGACTGACGCTTGTGACACGCCGGCAGGCTGTCCTTCGACACCAAGGCCAGCATCGCCAAGGCGCGCAAGTTCATCTCGATGTTCGAGGCCGAGGGCATCAGCAAGGAGCGCATCCTGATCAAGCTGGCCTCCACGTGGGAGGGCATCGAGGCGGCGCGCGTCCTGGAGCAGGAGCACGGCATTCACTGCAACCTGACGCTGCTCTTCTCGTTCGCCCAGGCGGTGGCGTGCGCCGAGGCTAGCGTCACGCTCATCTCGCCGTTCGTCGGCCGCATCCTGGACTGGTCAGTGCCGGCCAGGGCCAGGCTCCCGGGTCTGGGTCCGGTCAATGTCGGCCAGGGGGGACGGGTCAGGCTCCCGGGTCTGGGTCTGGTCAGTGTCGGCCAGGGGGGACGGGTCAGGCTCCCGGGTCTGGGTCCGGTCAGTGTCGGCCAGGGGGGACGAGTCAGGCTCCCGGGTCTGGGTCCGGTCAGTGTCGGCCAGGGGGGACGAGTCAGGCTCCCGGGTCTGGGTCCAGCCAGTGTCGGCCAGGGGGGACGAGTCAGGCTCCCGGGTCTGGGTCCGGTCAGTGTCGGCCAGGGGGGACGGGTCAGGCTCCCGGGTCGGGGTCCGGTCAGTGTCGGCCAGGGGGGACGGGTCAGGCTCCCGGGTCGGGTTCCGGTCAGTGACCGACCAGGTCATCATGAGTCAGGCTCCCGGGTCTGGGTCCGGTCAGTGCCGGCCAGGGGATCCTGAGTCCGGCTCCCAGGTCTGAGTCTGGTCAGCGGCCGTCGCGAGGCTTCGGTCGGGCTCCCGGTCTGGGTGCGGTGAGTGGAACTGGGCTAACCATATGGGACGGATCAGTAGCGTTGGCTCCGGGGATCAGTGACTGACCCGCGGGAGACTGGTCAGTAGCCCTGCGTGACCAGACGTCAGGTCGCCAGGTACGTCACATCATATCGTGGCACAGATCAGCTGATATTACGTATCAGGTAGGTTAGACATCAGATAGCAGATCAGACACAGATATATCCAGATCCCGATCCGGATACGTACGGGGCTGGCCGATAGCTAGGGCTCTTGTGCTGACCCGTTCTGAGCAGGTCGTTATTCTGGGGTCCTAAACGACGCTGATTTGGTTGAGACCCTCGGGTCCTGATATTCACCAGTCTTACCCGCAACATGAGCTCGGCCCTGTTCCGTTAGGTGCGTCGCTTGCTGGTCAGATGTTCATGGGGCCCTATTGCGTCGGGGGGCGCTATCTGGCCAGAACAGTACAGTCGTTTCTTGTGCATGGCTGATTTGCCTCTATTGCTTGTTCCTGGGCTTAGGCAAGCCTGTCCATTCAACGGGCGCTTGTAAGACTTCATTAAGTGCCCAACCTTGAAGTCAGGATGAATCAAATTCCAACCACAATGGCGTGTACCAAGACGAGATTGCTCCTACTTATTTGGACGTTTATCGCTCTCAGCCACCCAAGTTGCTGGCCAGCCATCACAAAAGATCACTTTTGGCTCTGCTTACGCCGGCGCTTCCTGCCAGCCGTTAGCTAGCGACCCTTACAGAGCAAGGTCATGCAGGTCAAGGTCATGTCTGAAGGTCATAATGCAAGGCTTAAATGTTCACTTTAGACTACGACCAGTGCCATCCGGTGTGGTTTCGTCAGATAATCAACTCCGCGCACGTGTTCGTTTAAATCAGGCACGTGGCGAACACGGACAAGAAGAAGTTTGAGCCCCGCGAGGACCGGGCGTCATCTCGGTCACCAAGATCTACAACTACTACAAGAAGTTCGGCTACAAGACGGTCGTCATGGGCGCCCTCCTTCCGTAACACCGGTACGGACCGGCCGAGTTAGCCTGCCCTGGCGGAGCACTGTGTTACTGCTATCGTGCACGCGGAAGGGAATGCTGGAGATTGGTTGTCGAGGCGGCAGGGCAGTGGCAGTGTGCAATAGCGCAAAGATTGGTTGTCGAGGCGGTAGGGTAGGCGGCGGTGTGCAATAGGGCAAGATTGGTTGTCGAAGCGGTAGGGTAGACAGCGGCGTGCAATAGCGCAAAGTAACCAGCTGTTCGACCAACTGCTGTTTCATGAGGTGTACCGCGAGCCGCAATGCGATAGTGTGTTTTTGTCATTGATCACGTGTTTTGGGCGGCATGCCAGTTTTTAATGAAAGTCGGTGCCCCGGCTGTCAGCACAAGCCCGGAAGTCTGTTCCGCGGTGCTCGTTTCGTCTGACATTTCGGATCATGCTGAGCTCACCTGGCCTCTCAGCGAGCCTGGCCGCGCGCCTGCGCCTCTGCGCCGGCCGTGGTCGCTCGCCCGGCGGCTGCGTCGGAGTCGCCGTCGCTGCGGGAGGCAGTCAGTGGCGTGGCCGGCGCCGCCTTGTCCTGCCCTCCTGACAGCTGGCGGCGACGGCCGGCCGCCGGCCGCCTCTGACCGCCGCTGACCGCCGCTGACCGCCGCTGACCGCCGCTGACCGCCGCTGACCGCCGCTGACCGCCGCTGACCAGCCGCTGACCGCCTCTGATCAGCCACTGACCGCCGCTGACCGCCGCTGACCTGTGTCCGCCAGGCGAGATCACGGCTCTCACTGGCTGCGACCTGCTCACCATCAGCCCCAAGCTGCTGGAGGAGCTCTCCAACAGCACCGACCAGCTGCACCCGCAGCTCACCGAGAGCATGGGTAGGTGGACTCGGCGGCCGACGCCGGTCGGCCCGCCAGCCAGTTGACCCCGGCTCCGGCCGTCGAGCCGACAATGCCGTCAGTCGTTTCACACGCATCTGATGCTGCTGCTGTGGGTGGGTGCTGCTGCCGCAAGAGGCTAGATGTGTGGTCATCGGCCATGCGTAGGCAAGCGAGCCAGCCAGCCGGCTGGTAAGACGCCATGCTGCTCATGCATTCAAACGAATAATGTATTTGCCCTGTAGCCATTGCGTGCGCCTAGCTGCTCCGTCCACACCTTACTGTGTCTGCCTGTCCCTTCCAGCTAAGAAGCAGGACCTGGACAAGGTGGACATGAGCGAGCCAGTCTTCCGCTGGATGCACAACGAGGACGCCATGGCCACGGACAAGCTGGCCGAGGGCATCCGCAAGTTCGCTGCGGACGCCGTCAAGCTGGAGACGCTGCTGCAGGCCAAGCTGAAGTAGCGGCGGCGCTTGGTCACCGTCGTCAACCGCGCATCATTCCAGCGCCAGGTTGTGGGTCGATCCGGCCGTACAAAGCGTCGGACGTGTTGGAGATTTTTTACTTTAATTTTATGAATAGTTGAATCATGACGTAGAGCTTTGACATCACGTGTACCGTCGCTTGGACGCACAGGGTTGCTGGAATATATTTACCACCTCGGTACGTGTGCTTCATTGGAGGTGGTGGAGACGCTGACACAGTATGCTCAAATTTATTCGACGAGAGGAGTAACCACGCAAACACAGCTAGCACATTTCACACACACTACATACTACCTCGCTCAGTACAATGAAGATGTCTTCTGTGGAAGAGAGCGCCTGCGGCTCGTGGGTATATTGCACTATTCTTAGTCACCGCCTTCCTGCCTCCACGGACTCGAGGAGATAGGTAGGAGAACAGACAGGAGCGGACAGAAATGGACCGACTGGTGGGATCGGGACCAAGACCGGGACAGACAGGCTGGGGCGGCCGAGGCCGGGGCAGACAGGGTGGCGGGGCCGGACCGGCAGGGTGTCCGTGTGAGCACTACGCGCGTCAGGGGACTGCGCCGACCCGGAGGCGGCCGGAACACAAGGACGAAGGGGGGGGGGGGGGAGCAGGCAGGGTATACAGAATCGCACCGGGGCACGTCTTCTTTCCCGCCTCGGGACTTGATCGTCGCTCCGGATGATCGCGGACAGTGCGCAGCGGGGTCCACTCTCAGCAGGACTGGCTGGAGTACCTGCAGTCCAAGCGGGCGGCCACTGGCCTACGTTCCGACGCCGCGATGTGCGGTTCGCCGCAGCCGTGCGTGCGGCAGGACGCGACGAGGCGAGGCGAGGCGAGACGAGACGAGACGGCCCGCGCAGGCCAGAGGCGGCGGGGCTGCTGTCACAGCTGCCCCCGACCGGGTCGCGTCCTGCCACACAGCCGGGGGCTGCGACGGTCGGCGCCATCACTGGCTGACCGGTAAGGCAGCGGAGCTGCCGTCACAGCTGCTGCCGACCAGGTCGCGTCCTGCCGCACAGCCGAGGGCTGCGACGATCGGCGCCATCACTGGCTGGCCAGTGATGGCGCAAGAACACCCACCCAACCGTTATTAAAAACACAAAGGGCAAACGCATGGGAACATCACTCGCCGCCCAGTTATTAGATTCACATAATGATATCCCACGTTTGTCTTGAAAAATGCGACAGCCCACAACCAATACTTAACGAATATGGCAAGACCTTATACGCGCACTGATTGCCAAGCATGAAGGAGTACAAAAAAACAAGCGCGCACGACTGGCTTTGTCCGTAAGCATGCACCATCCGATCGAAAACGCGACGCCGACTACCGCCCGGCCGCTGGGCCTAGCTCCAGTAGGTCCACCCTGGGCTTGACCTCGCCACCCCGGCCCATGCTTCGTTGGTCTCATCGGCATCGTCGGAAATACTCCGTCACTTCTCCCTATTGCCGGCAGTGATCCCAAACGCCAATGGAACGCGTCGCGATGGCAGGCCCCTCAGGGAACACGATCACAGCTAGACACAGCTAGAACCGGGCCCTAGTCGGCCACAGCTAGGCTACCGTTGCTGGAAGATGCCGTTGCTGGCACACAGTCATCACATTGAATCACACCGAGGACCGAGCGGCCGGTGTACAGCGGCGCCTCTGCGGACACCGCGCTGGACCCAACAGCTTCGTTGGCGCTGCGGTGCAGCCGTCGCTGTACATACACCGCCGGACACAGACCACGACGACGACGACGTCGGCTGGGTCAGTGCTTCACGTCGCCCTCAGCCGCATCCGAACGGCGCGGATCGCCGCCGCCGTCCCTACTCCAGCGTGACGAGCAGGTCGTCAGCGGTGACCTTCACGCCGCCGTCGACCTCGACCGTCTTGACGACGCCGTTGGCCGGCGCCTGGACCACCATCTCCATCTTCATGGCGGACAGCACCACCAGCGGCTGGCCCTTGGTGACGGCGTCGCCCGGCTTGACACGCACGTCCAGTATGGTGCCGTTCATCGGCGAGCCAACCGACCGCTTGTCGCCCGGGTCTGCCTTCGGGTGCACCTCGATCTCCTGCCGACACGGCCGGCCGGGCCCGGTCAGAGGACGCCGGGGCTCGGTCAGAGGACGGCGGGGTCCAATCAGAGAGGGCACCGGGGTCCGGGCAGAGGACGGCGGGGCTCGGTCGGAGGACGGCAGCGACAGTGGATCTGATGCCGGACATGGGGAGGGGATGCTAGACAGTGTCCGAACGTGCTGCTGATCCGAACAACTATTCAAGGGTCAATGCCATCGCGTTTATCCGATTTTTAAGCCGGTTGTTTGGTAGCGGCTGGTTGGTGCACATCAATCTCGGTGTCCGCGTTAGACAAAGGGCTACATAGGAAACAAGTTATGAAATGGGGAATGACTAATAATGAATCAGTGACAAATGCCGGATAGATGAGGTAATAAATCATAAAGAAGCACCGTCAATGCTGCACGGAAGGCGTCGTCATGACGTATGCACAAATGCGGCAGAATGACGTCACAAACGATACACGCACGCAATCCACCCCGAATAAATAGTGCAGCTATTATGTTCGGAATAGCTAATGGCTTTGCTCAGATTATGTGAACGCAACTTGAGTGAACTGTAAAAACGAACAATGAATGAGCGCACTGCATGAATGATATAAAAATTAACCACAAAATGGTTCCCGTTACGATGCTGTTCAGAGCACGACGCGCGGTTAGTAACGAACATTAAAACGACTCGATCATAACCGGCGAATCGCCGGCGCATCCTGCCCCGTGCCTGCACTGGAGGGCAGGCACGGGGCAGGCGGCCACGCGCGGCCCGCCGTGGACCGAGCAGAGCCGACACGGTCCGCGGCGATGCCCGCGCGGCGCCGCGCGCGCCGCTCACCTTGGCAGCCTCCGTGTCGCGGATCAGCACGGAACGCAGCTGCCCGTTCAGCTCGAAGAACACCTCGCGCTCGCCGCTGCGCGTCAGGTCGGCCGCCATCGCCAGCGTCTTGATGTGCAGCGTCTTGCCGCGCTCGATCGTCACCTGGCGGCGGTGGTCAGGTCAGGTCAGGTCAGGTCAGCATGGGCCGCCGGGTCCGGAGACGGGCCGGTGAGATGGAGGCGAAGGAGACGGGGGCGAGAGCCGATGGCCCTTTCGTCTTTGGCGAGCGGTGGACGATACCACAGACGGGGCGTGGACGAGTTCGGGAGTCACGAGGAGCACGCAAATCGAAAACATAAGGTGTGAACGACGGTCTGCGTCATCCCGTCATCTGCCGCCTTCTCGCTGGTAGACATAAACTTTCGCTACCAAACCCAGCCCACATGAGAGCAAAGACCCGAAACACCACCGATCGAACACACTGCGAGGGCACCGTTGGCCGCTACAGATCCCCGCGTGCCACCAGCGGGCGGCCGGGGAGGCCCACCTCGAACTCCTCGGCGACGCGCGGCCCCACGAGGAAGATGCGCGTGTCCAGCTTGTCGACGGGGCCGTACTTCTCGCGGAACTGGAAGAACTCGGTCGCCACGTCCGGGTACATGGCGTACGACATGATGTCAAACTTGGAGAGGTCGGAGAAGCGCTCCTCCAGCTGCTCGCGCACGGCGTCGAAGTCCATCGGCTTCATGTTGGCGCCAGGCCGGCCCTCGACGGGCGACAGGCCCATCAGAACCTGGGTGGGATGGGGCGAGGGGGTGGGACATCAATGGCTAACACGGAGACACGCGTCCAGGCTCGGGGCAGGGCGACGTCTCATGATCTACAGCACGGGGACACCAGCGACAGAGATGGAGAATATGTGGAGACGCGTCGGGATATCCCGGAAAAGGTATGGATGAGATGGCAGACCTGAATGCCAGTGGTACGTCGAGACGCAGGGCCGAGTTCAAAACTCGAGGAAGGGTCCTGGGGACCTCTGGCGGAGAGACTTCTCAGGACCTGAGACCAGGGTGCACACCAGTATGTAAGGCGTGCGTATAGACATATTAAAGGAACTGAGACAGCCATCAGGATTGGGGGAAGAAGACTCTTCCGAACGCGGTACAGTCGGTCCGGACTCGGGAAAACCAATGCGAAACAAAGTAATTATGTCAGAATTGACGCATGATGAGGCCATTCCACTCGGACCCCGGACATTACATCACGGCCGGGAAAGCATGCGAGAATGGACAATATTTTGCACGTTTCAAAAGATTCCAGACCCTCGAAGGCCCCAAAGGATACCACACACGTCAAGGCCCCAACGAGACCCGCGCAACCTAATCACGCACGACACGACGTTGAGGTTCACACAAAACAGAATCATCCTGTCCAATGACTGCTCCCTATTCTGGGGATGCCCGTCGGTTCATGAAACTGGCAACCAGCACCATCCACTTCGTCATGTGTCGGGGACACCAGACACCAGTCGCACCTTGTTCCTGAGCGGCTGCGGGAAGCCGCCGTAAGGCTCGCCCAGGTAGCCCTGCATGAACTCGATGACCGATTTGGGGAAGCTGAGGTCCTCGGCCCGGTCCAGCACGTCCTGGCCGCTCAGGTTGTTCTGCACCATGAACTGGGCCAGGTCGCCGACCGTCTTGGAGGAGGGCGTCACCTGTCGGGCGGCGGAGGCGGCGGGTCACAGTCGCCTCTCACAGCTGGACGCCAGGACCGGGCGGCGCCGGCACCAGCGGCGCTCAGGGCAGCGGAGACCGCGCCTCGCAGCCGAGCCTCAGTTCACAGTTAGCTGGAGTTAATGCTAACATTTCCATCGCGATTGGAAATATCCGTCACGATCACTGGGGAAGTTTACATGAAACTGTCGAGATGACGACGCAAGAAAGGAGCGTGTTACACATGGATCACTTAACACGGCACTGAAAGCGTCGCAAACATCAAGGCAACGAGAAGTGAGGGGACTGAGATAAACACGAATGCACTTCGTGAGCCCAACACTGCATCTCACAGGTCACAGCCATTCCCACAGACCCGCCCGAAGACCGTCCACACACGGCGGCCCACCTTAATGACATCCCCGAGCAGCATGTTGGCCTCGCGGTAGGCTTGCTTGACCTTCTCGAACTTGTCGCCGAGCCCGAGCGAGAACGCCTGGAACTGCAGGTTGGTGTACTGGCCGCCGGGGATCTCGTTCAGGTAGACGTCGGCGTTGCCCGAGCGCATGGTGGTGGTGCACTCGAACGGCGCGTACAGCGTGCGTGTCTGCTCCCAGAAGGCCGAGTAGTCACTCACGGTCGACAGCGGGATCCCTGCCGGCAGACGGCGATCAGTCAGAAAGCGGGATCCCTGCCGACGGATGACGGTCAGTCAGACAGCGGGATCCCTGCCGGCGGTCAGCGGTCTGTCAGACAGCGGGGGTCCTTGCCGGCGGTCGGCGGTCAGACAAACAGCGGGGTCCTTGCCGGCGGCCGGCAGTCAGACAAACAGCGGGATCCCTACCGACGGTCGGCGGTCAGACAAACAGCGGGATCCCCGCCGACGGACGACGATCAGTCAAAAAGCGGGATCCCGCCGGTGGTCGGCGGTCTGTTAGACAGCGGGATCCCTGCCGGCGGACGGCGGTCAGAAAAACAGCGGGATCCCTGCCGACGGTCGGCGGTCCGTCAGGCAGCGGGATCCCTGCCGACGGTCGACGGTCAGACATACAGCGGGGTCCTTGCCGGCGGTCGGCGGTCAGTCAGACGCAGACACACCGGGCGGGCTGGGGTGGCCCAGAATGCACACGGACGTCGCAGAGGAGTCTGATGACATACACAGATCCTGTCGCCAGGATTCGGGACACACCCTTGGTATCCACGCTAATACAAAGCCAGGACCCAGACCCGGCCAGGCCCCAGCACGAGAGGACTCTGTGGTTGGAAGCGGACAGTGGTCACACACAGGCAGAGCAGCACTCTGCAGTCAGGGAGCAAACGTGGTCAGGCCGCTGAATACCAAAGTTCCGAACACTACTGCCACCAAATCGTCTCCCCCTCACGCTCTGGAGCCTCAGAAATGCACGCATTGTGCTGTAATAAAATACCACTCTCCCGTGTCCCTCTCACACCTGTGTCCAGAGGGGTGCACTGCACGCTGGCCACCATGGCGTTCACGCTACTGGGACCCGCCTCTATCCCCCTCACACCTGTGTCCAGAGGGGTGCGCTGCACGCTGGCCACCACGGCGCCCATGCTGGGCTGTGACGTCATGCCCGACATGGAGTCGACGGCCACGTCCACCACGTCCGCGCCAGCCTCGGCGCAGCGCAGCATGGAGGCCACGCCGGCGCCGGCCGTGTCGTGCGTGTGGACGTGGATCGGCAGCTCCGGGTACTTGTCACGCAGCGCGCCGATCAGCATGGTGGCCGCCTGCGGCTTCAGCAGGCCGGCCATGTCCTGCGGCGAGGGGCGGGCGTCAGAGCGGGCGCCCGCTCACAGGGAGGTCTGGTCAGAGGGCAGGAGGGCGCTGAGAGGCAGGGTCTGGTCAGTGGTCAGAGGGCAGGAGGGCGCTGAGAGACAGGGTCTGGTCAGTGGTCAGGAGGGCGCTGAGAGGGAGAGTCTGGTCAGTGGTCAAGAGGGCGCTGAGAGGCAGGTCTGGTCAGTGAGTGGGAAGGCGCTGAGAGGCAGAGCCTAGACATCAGCCAATCACCGCACACCATCCAGCGGTGCAGGCGACGGTGTGGGGGGAGCTGGTCCAGCTGTGAGCACAGCACCACTGTCGCTACAACTCAGCTCAGCGCCCCACCACTGCCAGCACAACACCTTCTGTATTTAAAGTAAACGCGGCGCACGTCATCGCACACCCTTTCGAGGAGCGGCAGCGACTGCAGTGGCCAGATTGTCGCACAGGGGTCATGGTGCAACCGGGACTCGACCCCGGCTCCCCACGTGAGGGCCAAAGGCGCTAACCATTCCGTCATTACGTCCGCAGCACACTGTGTAGATGACGCATGCTATGACATCGAGACAGGACACCCTCCCAGGTCGTTTCCCGGCATGCCGGGCCATCCCAAATACCAGTGGCCCACTGGCTCCTCGGCCCTGTCATCGTCACTCCTCCGCCTGCTCACCTTGATGCAGAGCACGTGCGTGCCGGCGCGCACCAGGTCGTCAGCCAGCTGCATGTAGTAGGGCAGCGTGTACTTGGTGCGGCTGGGGTCGGAGATGTCGCCCGAGTAGCAGATGGACGCCTCCACCACGCCGCCGGCATTGCCCACCGCCTCCACGCCCAGCAGCAGGTTGGGCAGGTAGTTCAGCGAGTCGAACACGCGGAAGATGTCCATGCCGGCCTCCACCGACAGCTTGCAGAACCTGGGGACGGAGCTTCTGGCTACTGCCGACCGTGTGGACAGTGGGCAGCATGTCCAACCACGGACAGCGCAGAACGGGAGAGCTTCTGTACATTGAAACATGTCGATGCGTTCACTGTTGGAAATGTGAGAGTTCGTGCAGACTAGGCGAGAACTGAAGTGCAGGACTGAACAAGGTGGTGTCATGGAATATCCCAACTTATCCTGCGGGAAAGATGTAGTATAACATCGTCTTTCACATCTGTACGTCGCAGTAACCTGGCCCCTAAGGCTTTTCTGGCGCAACTGGTGGTCATCCCTCATCGCAGCCTCTATCGCAGTCAACCGACCTGCCCATCGCCACATCCCACATTCACACCGCCCCGTCTCCATCCCCGCCGCACCGTCTCCCTCCCCATCGAACCGCTCCCACCCCCACCACGCCATCCCCTCCCATCCCCATCGAACCACTCCCACCCCCACCACGCCATCCCCTCCCCATCCCCATCGAACCGCTCCCACCCCCACCACGCCATCCCCTCCCATCCCCATCGAACCGCTCCCATCTCCACCACGCCATCCGCTCCCATCCCGTGCATGCCGTCTCGCCTCCCCAGCGCGCCACCTTCCGCCGAGCCCTGGGTCTCACTCGTGCACTACGTTGTCGGGGTAGCTGGTGTAGCCGACGCCGTTGGCGCCGCGCAGCAGCATCTGGAAGGGCACGTTGGGCACCAGGCGGCGCATGTCGGCCAGCCGCTCCCACGGACACTCGTGCAGGAAGCGCATGGCCACGTCGAACGTGGCGCCGCCCCAGTTCTCCAGCGCGTAGAGCGATGAGAGCCGGCGGCTGACGAACGGCGACACCTGCCAACGCCGGCGCGCAAGTCACCGCCACCGCCGGCCACGGTCCTCTCTCGCGCCGCCGCAACGGAGCTGAGGCATGCGGGCGGCTTTGGGAAATGCGGCATTGTTCGTTTGACAGAGCCCGCCACCTGGTGGTTAGGATGTTCAGGGGAACTTTTGGTAGACATGGAACCAGTTGCCCAACGAGGTTATGTTGGACTAATCATGACTTAAAAATGCATTTTCTCGCTGTTGCAGTGAGTCCCGCGGAGTTCTATCTCTAATAGCAGCCCCTGTTGAGCTGACCTGACGCCAGATCAGTGGACGAGAGATGGAGGGAGCCCGCAGCAGCCACCCTCTCCCCACCTTCAGCAGGTTGCAAGACCGGACCCAGGTATCCAGTGTAGGAGAGGGCAAGGATCGGCGGCAGACCTCACTCACTTTCAGCAGGTCATGGGACCGGACCCGGGTGGCCGGTGTAGGGGAGGGCAAGGATCGGCGGCAGACCTCACTCACTTTCGGCAGGTCATGGGACCGGACCCGGGTGGCCGGTGTAGGGGAGGGCAAGGATCGGCGGCAGACCTCACCTTCAGCAGGTCATGGGACCGGACCTGGGTGGCCAGTGTAGGGGAGGGCAAGGATCGGCGGCAGACCTCACCTTCAGCAGGTCGTGGGACCGGACCCGGGTGGCCAGCAGTGACTGGTGGGCGTCCCGGTACGTGGTGTCCATCAGCAGCAGCCCTGGGTGCTGCCGTACGGCCCGGGCGAACCCCTCCGGGCCCTCCTTGTCCAGCACCTGCTTCCAGCCCGCTGGAGGCTCGGTGACGACTGCCGGCGACCAGAAAGCCGGTCACACGAACCGAAGAGGACACGCCGCAGGCAACTCATCGGACCTTCTGTCCAGGTCCTGCGCAGGTCGTGGGCTCCTAGCGGCAGGAAAAAAAATGAAGGGGGATAAACTAATCTGTACGAGTGCTACACTCGGCACAAACGGTAAAAAATGTTCACGAGTTTTACGCCCTGTATTTCAGGTGATTTGCCGCTCAGGTAGCTACAAATTGATCTCTTTGGAAAGGAGCATTCCAAGACATTTCAGCATGAGGTTCAGACATCGGGAGCAAATAAGACAAACTCCGGCTGCTGCCGCTCAAGCCAGCCAGACTCAGTCGCACCAGCTCTTCAGCCTGGCTAGCATGCTGCGTCAATGTGAAAGCAGAGAATGCTGCAGTTATAATACAGCAAAGCAAATGCAAAGGCAAGCGGTTCACTTCGAAACAAGCCTCGGCTTAGCCAAATGACGTATTTACATAAAACGAAGTGGGGCCCACAATAGATCCATAGCTAAATGGTGTATATTCTTGCAGTAGTGTCGCAAAGTTTACATCTATAGGATTGAAGGGAACAGTGGTAGCATTGTTGCGTTCTCTCAACAACGAAACCATCAAGTACAACTTAGGCGGCATTGAGCCACCAAGCCGGCCAACAGAACCACAAAAAATCAACTTGAATCACGTCATATCGGCCCCCACCACAAACATGAAACGAAGCGATCCAGTGAGATGCTGGCATGCCGTCAACTAGCTCACAGATCCAAAACAAGGACTGGATAAGCTGCGCGCTGACAGCGAGCGATGCTGCCAGAAGCCTGCGCGCCACGGCAGCGCCGCACTTCAGCTTAGCCGGCTGCGCTCCCGCCGCAGCAGTCCGTGTAAGGTGGCGGGGCTCGGCTCCGGAGACGGCCGGCGTTGGCGTGATGGGGGCGGAGGCCGGTGCGAGCTCAGCTGACGTCCGCGTAAGGTGGCGGGGCTCGGCTCCGGAGACGGCCGGCGTTGGCGTGATAGGGGCGGAGGCCGGTGTGAGCTCAGCTGACCTCAGTTCGGGCTGACACTCGCTGGCGCGGACAGGCGGGGGGCGGGCAGGACCGGTCACTGAGTTCACTGAATTCACCAAATCCCCCCTCCCCCGCCTTCCCAAGAAAACATCCGCCTACCACAACAGATCAGTGGCGGAGTTTGCAGCTTTATGGAGTAAACAAGTCCATAATCTAGCCATATGGCTTGCATCACACGGCCGCCGGCCATCTCACAAGCAAAACACCAATGGCCATTAACAGGGTAGTAATGGGAGGCGTCGTCCATCCAGAAAGCTTGCAAGATATACTGTGACGCGGCCACGTCGTGTACAGCGCGTTGGCACCAGCCATTCCAAGCCCAATTTGTCAGCGTGAAATGAAAGAACATGTCGCCAAATTTCAACACTACATCTTCCTTATAACGATCACACCATTTTGATGCCCACAAACAGACTCAGGCCCCGACCAATTACAAAATTACAACCTAACCAACAACATTTTCCAATTGCTCCCGGCGTAGCGCTATGGACATAATGTAATAAAATTATTACTGGTGTACATTTCCCTCCCATGGCGTTCCTGATTGGTAGGCCAAACCCCCTTCAGTAAGCTCTTAAATTAGCTCTGGCTCTCAGGGATAAATACATAGCCAGATGGGCGGCAAATGATCGCAAGGCGGAGGCAGCCTGCGATAGGATACCAGGCTGCGCAGGATCGGAGTTGTCAGCAGTACTTCAATGAACCAACGCGCACCAAAACAATCATCTCCAGAAGTTTGAGCCGCACCATCCGCCCGCCCGCACGGGAATGTCACCGAATGTGGGAGTTCTCAGCCAGCGCTGCGAGCACTCTCAGCGAACGCGGGTCCCTGGCCGGCGAGAGTGCTCGGCTGTGGCGGCGGGCCCGCCACCTAGCGGCTGTACGCAGCAGCGCGGACCGCCCGGGGACGCCACACCGCGTGCGGGGCGGGGCAGCCAAGCCAGGGCACCGGGGAGCCGATGCCAGCTGGAGAAGCACGGCTTAGCGGTCAGCGCACGTGCAAGCGACGGGACGTACTTGCGTGGTTGGCAGAGACAGCTAACTCTGCAAGACAGGCGGCCGAGCAGGTCAGCTCAGCCGATCGGGCCAGAGAAAGAGGAGCGGCACGCTGTGATTATCGGACACAGAGCCGCGCGCCGGGCAGGGCGACGCGCCCCTACATAGAGGGGTCAACACAGCACGCACAGGAGAGTGAGTCAACCGCCTAAAGGGCGCACACTAGCGACACAAGCCAGAGCGTGTGGAGGCGTGACGGTCACGTGTAAGCTGGGGGGCACAGGTTCGGAGCCCCTCGAATGTGACACGACCAGCGGGCATGCGTGAGTAATGTCCCACTTTTCCAAAGGACTCCAGGGTGGGTTCTGACGGGTGCAAGCGGGCTCAAAAGTGAGTGATACCACTCAGGCCATCTGATGTAATGACAGCCACCAAACGCATCCTTATCACGAAGTTATTGCTGCGAAAACCCGGGATTAGCATCATCCATCGCAATACTTCACCGGGGAGTGAACGCTGACGCCCTACCTGCAAAGTTCAGTGTTCAGTGTCCAAAAAGCACACACCTTTAAATTGGTTCTAGTGTTCTTGCTTCCATGACAAGCTAGCTCCCCGTTCTCTCCCGCCAGCCCGTCCCATAAACACTATTGCATATCCACCGCGTCACAGGCGTCAGCCCAGCCCGGCAGCCCCAGGGCCACCCGACCACCGACGTCCGACAGCTGGACCGACCGTCACACATCAGACCGGACGGGAGGCGCCCGGGCGCAGACCCGGCGTTGGCCGCGCGGCCGGCACCGCGCCGCCAGAGCCACCTGCGGTCGGGACACCGCCCGACACGGCCCACACACCCGACGCAGCCCGGGGCGGCACCGCGCCGCTGCAGCCACCTGCGGACGGGACACCGCCCGACACAGCCCATACTCCCGACGCAGCCCGGGGCGACACCGCGCCACTGCAGCCACCTGCGGACGGGACACCGCCCGACACAGCCCACACACCCGACGCAGCCCGGGGCCGGGCCGCGAGCGTACCGTCGACGTCCGGCGGCTTGACGGTGACCACGGCCGGCTGCAGGCCCGTCGCCAGCGGCGTCGACGGCCCGTTCACCAGGACCTGGCCCAGGTAGTTGAGCAGTTTCTGCGCCCGGTTCCGCGACGGCTGGAACTGGAACAGCTGCGGATTCTCGTCGATGAAGTTGGTGTCGATGGTGCCCGACAGGAACTTCTGGTTCTCCAGCACGTTCAACAGGAAAGGAATGTTTGTCTGGAAAGAACGAGACAGTCAGCTGCAATGAAACGTCTTTCCAGTTAAAAAAACACCATCACTGGGATTTGTAGCCTGCTAGGTTATGAATGGTTATGAGCCAAATGGCCGCGGTATATTGGAAATTGGGGAAAAAAATACGAAGCTTTCCCTTCACTTGTAGACCGCCATGGCAGCACTTAACAACTCTCCATTCGAGCCGCCCGCTCCCCCAAACATATCCACCACCAGCAAAACGCACGACTCATTCAAACATCTTCCAACCGACCCTCCCCTCCCCCTCTCAGCCTGCTCTGACACCGGAGGGAGCGTCGCCGCGCCGCTGCGCCGCTGACCTTGACGCCTCGGATGCGGAACTCGCGGAGGGCGCGGTTCATCTTGTTGGCGGCCGCCTGCACGTCGCCGGCGTAGGCGATCACCTTCACCAGCAGGCTGTCGTAGTAGGGCGAGATGATGGCGCCGGCGAACGCCGACGCTCCGTCCAGCCGGATACCCATGCCCTCGCCGCTGCGGCCGGACGTGGCGTCAAGGTACGCGGCGTCACGGAAGACGGGGGGACGAGGCGCGCAGCTGGCGCAATCGCTCGCGTGGCAGACATCGCATTGTGGGACTAGAGTTGTAGTCCCCGACGCGTTGTGAGACCGCCTCGCTCGCTCGAGCGCGGCGAACGGCGCGACGGATCACCAACCTAACGGTAATGACGCAGACACTGCCTGCGGGCGCGACCTCCTCGACAGCGCACGTCGTCGACCGCCGGCGCGGACCGCCGCCGTCCGCCGCGTCAGTGCCCGCTGGCTGTGCTGCCGCACCGGTCAGTGCCCGCTGGGTGTTGATACAGCTGTGATCAGCGCGTCCCGCGGTCGGATGGCCCGTGCGCACCCGCTCAGTGCCTCGGTACGGGACGCGGCGTCGACAGAATCTGTTGGTGTACACCATACCCCGGGCAGTGGTCCCGTCACCACGCCGACTGTGTACCTCGGTGCAGCCCATGCCGTTGTCAGTAGTGCGTGCTGGTGTGCACTGCACAGAGCCGGTCCCTCGTGTCCCCTAGCTGCGCCTGCCTAACAGCTCGAAGCAGTCCGCGTGGTGGACCGTGTGTGCTGCTGTGTCTTGTGCCAATATTTGACAGTGTGCGCCGACGGCGGACAGTGTCTGCCGGTGTGTCGTACGCCGGAGAGTGTCTGCCGGTGTGTCGTGCTGAAGTGTCTGCCGGTGTGTCATGTGCTGGAGAGTGTCTGCCAGTGTGTCATGTGCTGGAGAGTATCTGCCGGTGTGTCATGTACTGGAGAGCGCCTGCCGGTGTGTCCTGCGCCGGACAGTGCGTGCCAGCGTGTCCTATGCGTTAGCGTCTGTCGGCGTGTCCTGCGCTGGAGTGTTTGCCGGTGTGTCCTGTGTCGGACAATGCGTGCCGGTGTGTCCTGTGCCGGACAGTGTGTGCCGGAGTGTTTGCCGGTGTGTCCTGTGTCGGACAATGCGTGCCGGTGTGTCCTGTGCCGGACAGTGTGTGCCGGTGTGTCCTGTGCCGGAGTGTTTGCCGGTGTGTCCTGTGCTGGAGTGTCTGCCGGTGTGTCCTGTGCCGGACAGTGTGTGCCGGCGTGTCCTGCGCCAGGCGGCGTCTGCCGGTGTGCGCCGGCGGCGGGCCGCACCTGCGGAACACCTCGATGCGGCCGGTGTCGGGCTGGAAGCCGCGCGCCGGGTCCTCAGTGGTCAGCCGACACTGGATGGCGCAGCCGTCCGGCCGGACCTTCTCCTGCGTCATGCCCAGCTCTTCCAGGGTCAGGCCCTCGGCCACGCGGATCTGCGACTGCACCAGGTCAATGCTGAGGATAGAGGACACGCCGGGTCACGGTCATCACCTCGGCACAGGCCAGAGTCAATACCGGAGCACGGAAAACACGCCGAGTGGAATCAACAGCGAGGCAGGCGCAGGGTCTATGCCATCCCCAGGACGTGACGGCCATGTAATATGTGTACAAGACAGAGAGGTCACTGCTGCAACACGAGGGACGCACAATGACGGAACCAAACCGAGAAGCAGACAAACAAGACGAAATTGACGATACACCCGCACCCACAGCACAAAATACCTGACATTGTATACCAAAGAAACAGATTTGTCGCGTGACTATCTGACCGACACTTGTCCGTGACCAACGGCAATTTCTTGCCTTCTCACCGACGCGGCAACTATGCAGGCGACGGTTAAAAGTACACATGCATGCAATGCACCTGCTTCTGTAGATGTTGCTCAATGCAGTACATGAGATTGTCTGGTTTAGACTTAAGACAACGACTGGCTCACAATGGATTACCGCCCGCCAAACTGCGACTTTTGGACAGGAGACCTATCGGGCTGTCCCCGTACCATCTCAGCAGACTCGGGCCTGGGGAGGCCACACGAGAATTGCGACCCGACGAACCGGTCTCCGAACTGGCTGCGGTGCCCGGCCTCCTCTGCCTGAGAGCCGCCACCCCGTCGGCCGTGCTCACCCGGTGCTCTCCCCGGCGACCTGACTGTCCCCTCCGACAGAGGGCCGCCACCCCGCCGGCCGTGCTCACCCGGTGATCTCCTCGGTGACCTGACTGTCCCCTCCGCCAGAGGGCCGCCACCCCTCCTCCGCCAGAGGTTCGCCACTCCGCTGGCCGTGCTCACCCGGTGATCTCCTCGGTGACCTGACTGCCCCCTCCGCCAGAGCACCGCCTGACCTGACCTGACTCGGTGACCTGACTGCCCCCCCCCCCCCCCCTCCTCCGCCAGAGAGCCGCCGCCCCGCTGGCCGTGCTCACCCGGTGATCTCCTCGGTGACGGTGTGCTCCACCTGCAGCCGGGCGTTGACCTCGATGAAGTAGTACTGACCCTTGCTGTCCAGCAGGAACTCGACGGTGCCGGCGTTCTCATAGCCCACGTGGCGGCACAGCTTGACGGCGTCGGCCGTCATCTGGTCCCGCACCTGAAGGTGGCGCAAAGGTCAGACGAGCAGAGGTCAGGCCACAAGGGTCAGACGAAGGGGTCAGACCGCAGAGGTCAGACGAGGGGGTCGGACCGCATAAGTCAGACGAGGGGTCAGACCGCAGAGGTCAGACGAGTGGTCAGACCGCAGAGGTCAGACGACGGGTCGGACCCCAGAGGTCAGACGAGGGGTCGGACCGTAGAGGTCAGACGACGGGTCGGACCGCAGAGGTCAGACGGCGGGTCGGACCGCAAAGGTCAAACGAGGGGTCAGACCGCAGGGGTCAGACGAGGGGTCAGACCGCAGAGGTCAGACGAGGGTCGGACCGCAGAGGTCAGACGACGGGTCAGACCGCAGAGGTCAGACGAGAGGGCGGACTGCAGAGGTCAGTCGGCCGGTCCCTGGTCTCGCCCTACACCCCACCTCACCGGTCAGGTATGGAGCTCTGCCGAGACACTGTCGCTAACAAACTGTCGGGACGGAAGGGAAGCAGGGATTTCAAATATTTTTGCTGAGTTGCATATACATACAGATGCAGTATCTCCTGATTAACATACACTTTTGGTTACCTATTCAATCTTTTCACCGCAATAGTTCAGTAAAATTTTGGCTTCAAGGCTCTGTGCGAGGACACTAAGTAATAGTGGTGCCAGCATTAACAAAAACGGTGCTGGCACTATTATTAGCAGGCTACTTAAGATCATCACGTTGCAGCGCCGCCTACTGAACAAAACAATGTGCAAAGGTGGCGATATTTCCGCTGTCTTGCATTTGCTAAGGACTGAAAGATTGCGCTTTAAAATAACCATTTTCTCCTCTTTCGACGAAACATGGAAATGAACGGCTTTCGAGCAAAGATACAGTTAAGCATAAACCCCAAAACCAAGCGCGCCTTTACTGCGGCGCCACAGGCGGAGCTTCACACAGCGTGGCCATGTGGGGGACGATCATGGCACAGGTGGGGTTGGGGACACTGAGAACACGGCCGCCGCCCGCCGTCACTCCCATTAGACGGCCCGACCAGGGCGTTATATTTAGCGTGGCGAAAGTCGGGACGGTCCCGCCGCGGCCAAGCGAGGTCGGCGCTTGGCACCCAGATTCGACTGGCGGACCACGCCGCTACGGCAAGCATTCAGCTGGCGTTGGACGCGCGCTGGACATACGGGCGTTGCGCGGAGCATGGCGGCGTGCCGGTGAGGAGTCGGCCAGCTGTCCAGCCAACTCTCCGACACTCGTGACTACATGTTGACCGGCACTCATTCAACAGCGCCGAGACGCAGGCCACTCTGTGACTGGTCCGGAGGGGCCCGGTCTCAGGCTGTGTCCGCGTCCAGAGTGGCCCGGCCTCAGGCTGTGTCCGGGTTCAGAGTGGTCCCGTCTCAGGCTGTGTCCGGGTCCAGAGTAGCCCCGTCTCAGGCTGTGTCCGGGTCCGGAGTGGCCCGGCCTCAGGCTGTGTCCGGGTCCGGAGCGGCCCGGTCTCAGGCTGTGTCCTGGTCCAGAGTGGCCCGGCCTCAGGCTATGTCCTGGTCCAGAGTGGCCCGGTCTCAGGCTGTGTCCAGGTCCAGAGTGGCCCGGCCTCAGGCTATGTCCGGTCCGCACGGACATCAGCGGCTGAATGCCACTGATGACCGGGGCTGAGCTCACAAGGCCACATCGCCACACTAGGAGCGCCGCCGAACCACATGCGGCCTTCGTGCGGACCGCAGACGTAGTATTTGCTATCTGAGCGCTGCACATGTCTGCAGAGCTGCTAACGAACCATCGCAGCAGAAAAACGCAGTGTCCAGAAGCCGAGCATGGTTCCGAGATCCTAGAAGCGCACTTCTCCAGAGACGAAATGTCGCAAGCTAACATTGAGCAAGCCTCTCGACGCGACACAAACATGACGCTGGTGAGACGGTCACGCTGACCGTATGCACTGGGCGCTGCCAGGGTCAGAGTGATCACGTGCAAACGGAACAGGCATGTCCTGCGTCGTAGCACACTACTCCCAACCGATTACACAGCCCTTGAGCGCCCTCCCCCTTCCCCGTAGAATGCAGAACACCGCTCCCAGCCACCTGCGCAGCCCTTGAGCGCCCCCACCTTGCGTCGCCGCCCCGTACTCACCTCCGGGTCGAGGTTGGGCGCCGGCGCGATCTCCACCACCTTCTGGTGACGGCGCTGGACGGAGCAGTCGCGCTCGTACAGGTGCACCACGTTGCCGGCTTTGTCGCCCATCACCTGCACCTCGATGTGGCGCGGGTTCTCGATGAAGCGCTCGATGAACATGGCGCCGTTGCCGAACGCCGCCTTGGCCTCGGACGTGGCGCGCTGGAAGTTCTCCTCCACATCCTGGGGATGGGCACGGCGGAGTCAGGTCAGGCCAGGTCAGATGGCGCGCTGGAAGTTCTCCTCCACATCCCGCGGGTGGGCACGGCGGGTCAGGTCAGGTCAGGTCAGGCCAGATGGCGCGCTGGAAGTTCTCCACATCCCGCGAGTGGGCACAGCGGGCCATGTCAGGAGAGGTGGCGCGCTGGAAGTTCCCCTCCACATCCCGCGGGCGGGCACGACGGGTTAGTTCAGGTCAGGTCAGGTCAAGTTAGGTCAGGTGGCGCTCTGGAAGTTATACTCTGCCACCAGCTCCTGAGGGTGGGTACGGAGGGGTGTCAGGTCAAGGGTAATGGGGGCTGCTCCCCAAACGACGGCCGTCCTGAGACTTGGGACGCCAACTCGCATTCGGAATCGACGACAGCCGCTCTTCAGCTATCCAAGGCGTGGTCTTGAATCGCTGCACACAGACTTACCTATGACACCCCGGGCAGAAGGCGCACTGCGCCTTGTCGCTGAGGTTAATTTCCGAATACCGGCGAGACCAGATGGCCTGCTAGAACTCAGCTCCGCTGACCCCCAAGACCTCCGCGCGACAGTAACAGCACGCTGTCGCCAACCGAAACAGACCCAAACGCCCTATCCAAACAGCATCCAGCTGCTCCGTAGCTCTTTCGCCTACTTTCCCGCGGCGTCAACCGCGCGCTGCGTTCAGTGACAGAGCGGTGGTCGACACCAGAGCCCGACCAGTCTGCCGGGGTCAGGTCGACCGGATGACCCCACGCCAGGTCCGGGGCCGCGCCTGTTCATCCGTCCTTTACATTGGGTGTAAGGCTGTACGGGTCACCGTACGAACTGTCCTTCAGCAGCTTGTGACCGACAACATCTCTCGGGATTTCCAACCGCCTCCGGCGCGCCGGCGAGATCAGTCGGTCGCCGTCTGGTCCGACCCCGGCTGGACTCTGCCCGCACGGCAGCGGCTCGGTAAACAGGGCGCCGCCAGCGCCGGCCGAGCGTGTCGGCCGTGCGTCACCGGGCCGCCGCCGGCCGGGTGGACCGGCTGTGGACCCTGCCACCGGCAGCGGTGACGTCACGGACACACCCCGCCGGCGGCCAATCCGCGCGCGGGCGCGCCGGCCGCCCGGTAACCGCGCCAGCCGCCTGTTTATAGCCGGTCTACTGCCCCGGATGGTCGCGTGGTCATGGGTTCAGTTTCGCATCCCGCGTTACCCAGATGCGATAAAAAAACGAGCACGGGGGCGCCATGTGACCAATCGGGCGGCGTCATGCAGGCAGGGCGTGAAGTATGCCGCAGGCTGGCCGGGAGGACACGGCGGCGCCACGTGATGGTCTGCGTGCTGTCAGTGCGGCACGGCGGCGTCCCGGCCGCGGCCGCGGCGGGGGCGGCAGCGCGCCGGAAGCCTGGCCACCAGGGCGGCAGGCTGCCGGGGTTCGCGTCTCCTGACCACGCTCGCTCTTCTGGCCTGTCAAGGACGGCCGACTAACGACCGGCTATGAGAGTGTCCGGCTGGCACGAGGCGGCCGTGCCATAGCACTGCGTGGTGTGTTACCATCATTCGGGCAAAATTGCCTGTTACGCTGGCACTGCTCTTCTGGCGCGGTGGGATCACGGCCTTCGCAACGAACCGTGCTTAGCAAGGACCCTGGTCCCACAACCACTGCAAAACATGCTGCCAACGTCAATACCATAATTAACAGGTTTCTAAGTAATTTACAAAATAAACACCAACACTAACTATGAGGTGGTTTGACCCGAGCCTCAGAATGTTTGGGCGGCGTTTCGTCTAGGCCCGTGGACGGGCGTCACACCGACAGAACGGTAACGCAAGGATTGGCAGGGGACGGATTGAGTGGCAGGCCCTCGGGCGGGTCAGGCCGCGCAGCACGCCGTCATACACCGGCCCGGCTCAGCGGTGCATCGCGTGATAAACGACACACCGGCACGCGCCAGTCGCGCAGCGGCACGGGCGGCCGCCTCTCAGCTGGCCTCTGGCCTCTGACCTCTGCTCCTTGCGTCAGCCTCAGCAGAACCAAACGCTGTTTGAGTCGGCGCGTGACATCGTCCCGACGCTGCGTCGCCCTCCGCCGGCCACGGCGGGACGCGGCCGTCTCCACAGCCGTCATCGCAGCGGCGCCGCCGCCATAAATCGCGCCGAGCCGGTTACGCCACCGGCCGATGTTATCGCCGGGCCGGGCGAGTGGCTACCGCCGGTCGGCGCCTGGCTACAGGCCGGTCGGCGCATGGCTACAGGCCGGTCGGCGTCTGACTACAGGGCTACCAGCCGGTCGGCGCCTGGCTACAGGCCGGTCGGCGCCTGGCTACAGGCCGGTCGGCGCATGGCTACAGGCCGGTCGGCGTCCAGGCCGGTCGGCGCCTGACTACAGGCCGGTCGGCGCCTGGCTACAGGCCGGTCGGCGCATGGCTACAGGCCGGTCGGCGTCTGACTACAGGGCTACCAGCCGGTCGGCGCCTGGCTACAGGCCGGTCGGCGCCTGGCTACAGGCCGGTCGGCGCCTGGCTACAGGCCGGTCGGCGCCTGGCTACAGACCGGTCAGCGCCTGACTACAGGCCGGTCGGCGCACGGCCACAGGCCGGTCGGCGCCTGGCTACAGGCCGGTCGGCGCCCGGCTGCAGGCCGGTCGGCGCCCGGTAACAGACCGGTCGGCGCCCGGCTACAGGCCGGTCGGCGCCCGCTCACCTCCATGTTGCGGACGACGCGCATGCCCCGGCCGCCGCCGCCGTACGCCGCCTTGAAGATGACGGGCAGGCCGTGCTTCTGGCAGAAGCGCACCGCCTCCTCGGTGGAGGTGACCGGCTGGTCCGTGCCCGGCACCACTCTCACACCTGCCGGGACACGGACATCGGCCGTCAGGCGGGACGACGGCGGCGTCCGCTTCCCTAGCGCTGTGTGGTATCCCTGCTCGCTGAAATTGCTCGTGGGCGCGTGGTCTAGGATCTCGGGCGCTGCGTCTCTTTGTTTACAGGTCGTGCAGCGTCCGCGAGCATGAATTTCTGATATGGGAATAGCTGTCGCAATCGCCGGAGCCAGAAGGCGCAGTGCGACCCATGACTTACTTGCGCAATGTGTGGGGCTGCACGATAAACAGCCCAACGCATTACCAACTGCCCTTATTGCGCCATGACTTGGTGGCCTTACTCCACTACTGCGACGTTTCATACAGTTTATCAACAGATGCATAACACACGTCCCCAACACATGTGATCGCAGCACTCGTCCCTACCGAGCCCTACGCTCTATCGGCGAGTCCCCTGGTCCCCGACAAGAGGACCCGTCGGCAGAGCCCACCGCGCAGCACAAACGTCCCCCCCCCCCTCCCCTGAACCCACCCCCACCAACTCGGCCCGTGTAGAACAGCAGGGGTGGAACATAATACAAACGAGACACGTATCGCCAAAGGCGGCCGTGCGCCCGTTCGTCCCGGTGCCAGACGCCGGCCGTCTGGGCTGAGCGGCCAGCGTCGAATCGATCGACACCGGCAGGCCGGTCTCCACACCTGTGCACGGCGCGCTCATTACCCCCCGACGCCCACCGGGCCAGGCGCACAGCGGTTCAGCATCCGACCAGTTGGCTGGCGGGGATGGCCATGTTTTTCATGCTATTACACCCCCGGCTCGGGGCTCACTGTCTGCTGTCCCTCCCTTTTCTCATAATCGGCCAATCAGCACCGAACCGGGCGGAGGTCAGCCCAGCGCCTAAGCGCCTCAGGCTTGACAAATGGGCCGGGAGATCGGATATTTGAGTTCGGAGTCAAAGAGCAACGCGGCGCCGCGCGCAGGGGTCGCCGGGAGACAGGATTCTGATAGCATGAACTCATATTTGCATCCTGCACACCCTGCTGGAACGATTTTTTGGAACGCTGCGGACAGGGCAGGTGCCCGCCCGTCCGGGTTTGGCGGGGACAGCGACACTGGTCCGCCAGAAGAGACCACATACCAGTCCGGTCACGGCCGGTACACTGATCTGACGATGACAGCCTGCCCCAGTTAGACCCGGTCGGGCCTGCTCAGAAGCTCTCCTGTCCAGTCCGACCATGCTGTTTAGTCCAGGCCATAGCCCAGCTCAGACCACAGCCCAGCCCGGCCCGGCCCGGCCCGGCCCAGCCCAGCCCAGCCCAGCCCAGCCCAGCCCAGCCCAGCCCAGTCCAGCCCAGCCCAGCCCAGCCCAGCCCAGCCCAGCCCAGCCCAGCCCAGCCCAGCCCCAGACCACAGCCCAGCCCAGCCCAGACCACAGCCCAAGCCCAGCCCAGACCACAGCCCAAGCCCAGCCCAGACCACAGCCCAAGCCCAGCCCAGACCACAGCCCAAGCCCAGCCCAGACCACAGCCCAGACAGCCCAGCCCAGACCACAGCCCAAGCCCAGCCCAGACCACAGCCCAAGCCAAGCCCAGACCACAGCCCAAGCCCAGCCCAGACCACAGCCCAAGCCCAGCCCAGACCACAGCCCGGCCAAGACTACAGCCCACCGCAGCATTTTCAGTCCGGTCCAGTTCAGTCCAATCCCTTACATCCCAGTCCGGCGTGGTCCGTGCCCATCGTAACTCCACTGGCCAGCCGACCAGCAGCCACCCCCGTGACCCTTCCACCGCAGCTCACCGGCCTCGATGGCGGCGCGCCGGGCGGCCACCTTATCGCCCATGCGCCGCACCACGTCCGGCGCCGGGCCGACGAACCGGATGCCGGCATCGACGCACGCCTGCGCGAAGTCGGCCCGCTCCGAGAGGAACCCGTAGCCCGGGTGGATGGCGTCCACGTCATTGTGCTGCGGACGGGGAGGTGTCACGGCGGTCACGAACGGCCAGCGGCAGTAGGGCAGTGAGTGTGGGCGAGGGCCAGTCCCATACATATCACAGGTCGCGCATGTCGGTTCGTCATGACATTCAGACAGCATGGGTGTCGGAGACGCTAATGCTGATTCCGACAATGGCGTTGGATATGGGTGTGATCCCATGAGTTCACACATGTGTTGGTGGGATCCAAAGCAGAAATCACGGGCACCATTATGGCATGTCAGATAATGCAGCGAGTCAGGCACGTCTGCTGAATGCATACGCCACCTTGTTTTCGCACACTGGGAAGGCGAGTGTCGAAGATGTGAACGAAAAATGTTTTCATCTAAACGCTCGGTGCTCCTGAAAGTGCGTAGAATTGAATGGTTTCATCAGCTGCGTAACCTACACGCAGAAGTCTCTAGCGCACACAAACATCTACCGAACTCGACGGCACACGCAGGTACGACAGCAATGATCAACACATGCACATGAATCAACGGACACACGACACGTCGGCTGACAAACAGGCTCTGTTGTTGAACGCGCTCGCGCCAGGGGATCAGCACCGGCCGTCGAGTCTAATAGTGACCACCATAAATAAACACGCATCCAAGTTGCCTAAACACTCCCCGCCTGGCCGACACACATCTGTCCAGCTCTGCAGAAGGGAGCATCTGTCTGGCAGCGGGGTCCAGTCCCGCCCGCGGCGCCACAGACGGGCGGCAGGCGCTGTGCGCGTCTGCGCGCTAACCTTGGCCACGCGAATGATCTCGGGAATGTTGAGGTAGGCCTCCACCGGCGGCAGGCCCTTGCCGATCAGGTACGACTCGTCGGCTTTCAGTCGGTGCATGTGCATGGTGTCCTGCTCCGAGTACACGGCCACCGAGCGGATGCCGAGCTCCGTGCAGGCACGCATCACGCGGATCGAAATCTCGCCTGGGGACGGACGCGCGAGTCACACAGCGCGTGCATGCGCCTGACGCGTACCGTACGGGTCTGACACTGCCCACACGCGTCTGACGAGTCCAGCACGAGCCTGACACCGTGCACACGCGTCTGACGAGTTCAGCACCGGTCTGGAAACGTGCTCACGCATCTGACGCGTCTAGCGCGAGTCTACCATCGCGCTCACGCGCCTGACGCGCGCAGCACGAGCATGACACCGCGCTCACGCACGTAACACGTCCAAACAGTGGCATTAATGAACAAATCCGACATAATTGCATACATTGGCATTGCCCCTTAGACATTTGTTGACCACAAAACCATGGTTAGCAAGCTGATCAAAATGCCTCAACACAAATGCAATCATTGTTACCAGCACTAACTGCTGATACATGAGGGAGGGCAGAAAAAAAGTGGTGTGGGCAGAGTGCAACTCACAGCACATCTAGATCTGTGACTTAAGAGGACTCACAAGCAAAGCAGCCCACATGTACTGCCCTAGTTGAGCATTGTCCAAATTCACATACCTCTGTTTGCAACCATCAGCTTCTTGATAGGCTTGTACTCAATGGTGCCAGCTGACTGGTACCTGACCCATCTCAGCAGGGTCTGCCGGCTCCCAGGCAGCAGGTGGTGGCCACGCAATGACCACAGCATCATGGCGACACCAGGTGTTTGCAGAGCCCTGACAAAAGTGATGATGGATGATGAAACTAAATATCATGTGACTACATGAAAAGAAATGTGATGTTGAAACAATGAAGATAAATATCTGACTCTCTGGGCGCCATGACTAGAAAGTCACACAGTGCAGTCATAACACCTTTACATGAGGAGCAATGCAAGTTTTGGATGGAGAGGGGGAGGGAGGAAATCACTGTCCTCCTTGATCCTTAGCAGACTCTGCTGCTCACAGGTACAGTTCTACAGTCTTACAGTTCATTTACTAATCATCAGTTTGCCCCAACAGTACTGCTTTAGACCCTCAGATTATCAACACTTGAGATAAAAAGGTCATCAATAAGCTAATCTAATTTTCATTTAATTCCATTAAACATGCTTCATTTAGCAACAGTACTCAACTATTCAAAATAATACACAGCCCACCATATTAAACAATTGGGAACTGACAATTGTAACATGAATTCTTAGCTATACTTCTGCAATTCTTGATTTGGGACACATTTTAGTTAAATGTCTGGGCAAAACATAATTTCTTCAAGAACATTATTTCAAGTTTTGGTTGACTTTTGGCAGCATAAAAAAGCTTTTGTCTAGCCAGGAAGTAATGTTTCATGTGCAGTGTGCTGATTGTTTTGCCCAGAGTTTTTCTGACATGAAATTGAGCCTCAACAAACTAAGAGCTTGCTATAGCATAAATATATAATTAATGCCTAAATTTAAGCTATACTGAGCAAAACCCTTTTCACAATATACTATATATGGATACAGCCAAACTTTATCCATGTAATAGGTATGTGACTTCCAAAAGGAATTAGGTACCTACTTTTAGTCTCCTTAAACAGCCCCAACAACTTGAAATAATACAAATTGTTATTACTCTTGCACTTTATATTAGGGTTGAAACCCTGAGACTAAATAACTACTATCATGTGCATGATACTTCTGAATGTACTTACCTGCCACATAGCTCATTCCATGGCCAAAACTTCACAACATAGCTACCATAGGCACACATTGAGGAACCATGGTAAAATAAATATACTAAATGGATCAGAAAACATTTATCTGTATTTCCATGTTTTTAGCCTAGCACCATTTTTTTCAGAGGTTCTTTCTCTTTGATATATTTTAAAGGAGGCAATAATTTACACTACACAAAACACCATGTACAAAATGTTTGAATGACATTGATGACAAGCACTAGAAGGTATTGATTTTATATCCTCCTAGGGCAAAACCCACAATAGTTTCAAATATCCTGATACACATGGACAATGTTGTAGGCAGATACAAATGTCCTATAACAATTCACAGGCATTACCTTGTTCTACAGACAACCGACAACTGGAATGGGTATTGCTGAGGCAGCAACATGATAGGGGCTCAGTGGCACACGCATCACTGACAGTGCCTCAGAGGTGTTTAAGGCACCCCTTTAAGTACCAAACACCCTACCCCAACACTGTGTGGTCATCACACACAAGGGTGGCTGCCAGCCGCAAACAACCAACGTTCCCCGATCGTTTTTGTTTCAACGAATGGGATGGCCATCAAGTTTACTTGACCTTTCCCCGCTCAGCGCGTCACGCGAGGTGTTACGTCCCAAAACACGCCTCGCCATAATCCTTCTTATATAAAACAGAAAAGTGCTTTTCTGATCTGCACACATACCTGAAATAACACCGCAGCAACCTGACGGTTGCTTCCCCTCCTCCGGCGAACCACGGACGACTGCGGCCTTCACTTCAGCAACTGCGGACCGCGCCTCCACGCCGCCGGCGCCCCGCCCCTCACAAGACAATAACAATCGAGCAAGAGGCGCCAGGCGGCCGCCCGCAAAAACTACACCTTGAGCCAGCTGATTGTGAAGCTGTTTAGAGCCACCTACCACAGGCTGTGTTGTCGAAATGATGTGCCCAGCTGCCGAATCACCATATACTACCAAGGCAGGCTACGGCGAAGTAGTGTAAGATTGACTTAGGGACAATGTGACTGAAGTCATACAGCTTTCGGATGGTTGAAAGGGCAGTTGTTGAAATTGAAATTGAACTTCCGTTTAGTTTAATTTTAGACTAGTGTCTATTGGAATTGGGTATGAATGTCAGATCGGTGAGGAAATAAAGCTGCTTTTTTACTGGCAAAACTTGCTTTGTGTCCATAAAAGGGCAGCTTTCGGCGCTGATTTTGAATTCATGACCCACAGAGTAAAACGATTTCTAAATTTCGACCCCATGAAGGTCAGAGTAGGTCACATACTTAAAGTGATCTCGACCAACTTCACAGCTATATAATCTCAATTGGAGGAGCATAATGCGTTAGGTAGGGCAATTGGCGGATTGCGAATTGATCATAAAAATATTGCTGAAGGTTTTTGGTCATTGTTGCCTTCTTATGGTCAAATAAGGATAATGACCTGATATGTAGACCAGTGACACAATATATATATATATATATATATATATATATATATATATATATATATATATATATATATATATATATATATATGAGCGTAGGAACAGGGAGACCAGGGAACCATGGCCCCCCACTTTTCAAGTAGGGGGGAGCAATGTGAACTGCCCCCCACCCCCCCACTTTTTAGATTAGGGTTGATTTGGCTTATTTTTGCACTACATTAAACGTGCATGCCGATTTACCTAGTTCACCAGCCATCCCTCTTAAGATGCGTCCTTTTTTCGTTTGCTCATTGGCCATCGCTTAGTGTAACAGCCGCAAGGCCGACGTCGCATGGACTGGAAACTACAGCGCCGGGCGTCGAGGCTGTTGCTGCTATGACTTGCGAGCGCGCACGTTCAAGACCATATTACGTAGTTTTCTTATCAGTATCTTAACAGGTTACCCATGTTAATATAAATTAGGAACCACGTTTCATCTACAATCTACAGTCAGGGAAAACTCAGAAGGAGTCAGAAGTCCTCCCAGAAGTCCAGTCAAGAAGTCAGAAGGCCTCCCGTGTCAGGGATGGGAACAATGTGAATATAATATATCCTTCTCATGGCCTCCGGATCGACCAGGAGATCCCACTCCGTGCCACTAGAATGATAGTCAGAAGACACTTCTGGCTATCATGAAGTAAACATGGAAGTAAACATCTTGGAAAATCGCGCTTCAAAAAGCCGCAGCTATCAATAGTTATTTCTGCTAAATATGAATATCGAACGTCTGCTAACTTCACACACATCACATTGGCACACAGTGATGGAAAATCAGCGCTTGATCTTGTTGATCGATATCGGACCCTCTCTGAGACTGTGTTACAGGGTACAAAATACAGTACAAGGTACATTGTTGACTTCGGTCTTAAATTCGAATGAAATACGATATGTCGCGGCATTCAGTAGCGCAGGCAGGGAAGGCAGGGGCGCCTTTCCCTCCCCCCCCCCCCCCTCTCTTAGGTTTCGCCCTTCAGAACCTTCTATTAAGGGCCCGAAAATCTAGTCGGAGGTCTCATTCAGGGGCCCCGGCCCACAGGGCCGGGTAGAGTACTCCAATGTCAGCCAGAGAACCCTGTGCGCTGATCAGGGGCCTGCTGAGTCGATAAGAATCTATATTTCGGCCAGTCCCACCAGTAACGCACAGTCGGCTCCGTGGCGGCGTGGGCCTAAGGGCCCATTTCCCAAGCAGAGACAAAGCCGGAGCCGGAGTCAGCGATTTACGTTGGTTGGGCCCACAGTGCCTAACAGGGGCCCCGCGTTGTCAAGGGGTCCTGAGTCGGCCAGAGGGAGCGTTCGAGGAGGCCGGAAGAGCCGAGGGGTCCACGGGTCCGATGATCATGGGTCAGATTGGAAGGTCTAAGAGCATGAAGGGCTGATCGGAGACTTATTCAGGGTCCCGGACCTGCGAAGAATGACCCCCAAATAACGGTCAGAGGGCTATTTGCGCCGATCGGGAAACCCCTGAGTCGATATAGGCCTATATGTCGGTCAGGCAACACCAGCACTGCACAGTCAGGTCTGTGTCGGCATGGGCCGGAGGGCTTATTTCCTAATCAGCTACAAAGCTGGGCAGGCGACTTACACTGGTCGGGGTCTCTGTATCTGCCAGGGGCCTGAAGTGCCTAACAGAAGGTCCTGTGTTCCCAAGCGGTCCCGAACCTATCAAGAGCAGTGCTCAATGTGATCCGAGCAGGGCCCGGGCGACCCGCCGGAACTGACGATCAAAGGCCCAGTTGTAGGGCATAAGGACCGGAAGGATTGGCTGTAGGTCACATGAAGAATTGCCGCCGGTAGGGCCGTGACATAAAATAACAGCCAGAGGTCCTGTTACATCGTTTGAGGAGCCGCTGAGACAATGCGAATGTCTAAGTCGGCCAGAGACCACGAACACCGAACAGCCGGCTCCATGTCCGTCCGAGCCCTTGAGACCCATTGTCCAAGCAGAAATGAGGTGCGCGATTTGCAATGTTCGCGGTCACTGACACCAGGAGGGGCTTCTGTGTCGGTTAGAGGCCACAGCGTTTAACAGGGTTCCTGTGGCGGCAAGTGGCCCCGAGTCGAAACGGTGTTTGAGGGGACCTGAGGAGGGGCCGAAGGTCTCTCGAGACCAAAGATCAAGGGCCCGATGGAATGGCTGAATGATCCTGAATGGCTGAAAGGTCAGACGAAGGAACCCCGACCATAAGGCTGTGACATCAAATGCCAGTAAGATGATTTCTTGCACCGATAGGGACCCCGGAGACAAAGCGTTGCTCTATGCTCTGTTTCGACCAGAGATCACGAACAACGAACAGTAGGCTCCGTGTTGGTCTGAGCTCTGGGGGCCCATTTCCCCAGCAGGGTAATGGGCCCCCAGATGGGCAGGGCCCACGATTTACATCGGTCGGGCTCCTGTAATGTTCAGGGGTCCGCAGTGCCTAACAGGGCATTCTGTATCAACAAGGGCCTCGTTTCGATCAGGGGAAGATTTGCTCAACATGGACGGGGACGGGAGTTCGAATGGCAGAGGGTCTCTTGCGTTGGTCGGGACCCTCTGACAATTAAAGTAAATATAAGAACTTATGATGAGTGCTCACACTGAGGTACTAGAAGAGTCATGGCCGGTCAGGACCCCTAGTACCGAAAGGTGGGCCCTTCAACCATTTTCCAGCATGGGCCCATTGAACCCAACTGGAGTCTATGTGCCGATCATTTGACCACCTGTGGCGAGCAAGAATGTTATGCCTAATGACGGTCCATGCGTCAATTCGGGGTCAACTGCGCGGGTCAGAAGGCTTCCCGCGTCAGGGAGCGGACCAATAAGATATGATGTATTCCTCCCAAGGCTTCCAGATCGGTCAGGGGATGCCGCCCGTGTCGCCAGAATGACGGCCGGAAAACACACGGCGGTGGGACAGAATGACCCTTCGGCCCTTAACCAGAAGTAACAATGTGCCGCGTAGTGTTGTACTTAACGGACACCTTTACCGGAAAGAAATAAGTGGTGTTATTAGTGTTGAATAGAGTGGGTCGAAATGAATTAAAAACGCACGAGGCCATCATGATGATTTGGGGTTTTGGGCGCCCCGACTGCTGTAGGTCATGTAGCGCCCAGAGCACAACGCCATCCCACGTGTCCCTGGGAACGTTCATTATTTTACAGAGTCGATTAATGAAATAAATCCCATCAAAGGGTTTGGACCTGCACCCCAGGTGTCGATAATGCAGTGGTTAACGCGTATGAGAAACTACAGACATGGGGTTCGATTCCCCGCGGTGCCCGCCCTTGCCGTCAGGATGACAGGCTTGCATCACCATATAGCCCCAGCAGCTAAATGCGTCATAAAGCCCAAATGGCACGCCCGTAATCTCGGGGAGCAAGGAAAGCCATGACTTGGGTCGCAGTTTTCGCAAAACCGGACGGCGTTGGCCATTGCAAGTAACGGCAGGGGACGGGCGCCGAGGGCGCAACAATGATCATCGCAAAACCATGTTTCTGAATGTCTTTCAAAATCAGTTTGTGCAGTTCAAAGATAACACCGGGCAAGGCTTTTTTTAAAACTTTGAGGCTATCCCCTGGACAGATTAACAGTTACAGCAACGCGGAAAATAAAGATTTTCCCTTACTTTTCCAGCTCCACCACCACATTCCAGCATCACTTCGCGGTGCTGTAAAGGCCAATGCGTTACTGTCATCAATCTGAGAAACGCATAAGGTGGTGGTGATTTAGTGTTTAAAGAGCGCGTCGGCATCGGGGCCATTTTGTGCCCACTCGATGACGGTTATCTACCTCTGCGACGTCGCGATAAGTGGGTTGCCAACTAATAACAGGCGGTATCGCTGGCACACTTACACTGAGGGGTGAGTGAAAACAAATGTCAAAGTCAGTGTGTGCTAAAAATGCGAGCATATCTCTAAGTTCATAACATGGGTCTCGACCGATCAACCGATGAAAGAGCGCTGGAGGAAAAATCTTCGCCCTTCCGTCTCAAGGCGCCGGCATGAGACGAGGACATGTTCCACAGACAACCGGTGCTCGCATCTGTCACATCGTGGCACATCCTTACGCGTCAAGTAAAACGAGTGTGTTGCATGTGTATGACCCAACCGAAGCCTACAAAGAGCGACTACCTGGAAGCGGCTTTGGCGATGGGAAGATTCCCAATCACCCAGTTGGGGCTTGATTTCCCCAAAAGCACGAAGATGTTGGTCGAACTTGTTCTGCCAAGTATTGCGGTCTTATTTGAAAATGACCGACTTCAGATGT